AAGGAACCGGAACCAGGGCGAGTGAGACAGGATCCGGAATTCGATGGATGCGCCTTTCCGTCAAAATAAAAGCACCAAGCTAATAAAAATGCGGTGAAACTTTAATTTAAAGAATATAATTTACAAGAAAAGCCCCAAGCCATTAAGTTAATCGATTTTCTTACACCCCTCATCACCCAAAATCGATGGTGCGCCAGAATTTAAAGTTTTACTTTGGTGAACACTTTTACTTTGGTGAATTTGGTGAATTCGGCATCCGCTCTCTAGACCGGAACCAGAATCCAGACAAAATTCAGAGTGAATAGAAACCAGGCTCTTCACTTTATGTGAAGAGGTAATATGACGCGAGGCCACCTCGAACAGTGCCAGGCTCTGAAGTCAATTTTACACAGTGGCCAAATGTGGAATTACAATGTCAGGGTCCATCACGTGATGCCATGGGGCCCAAAATACTTTTCCTCATTGTGAAAGAGACGTCTGTAGATCAGTGGTTGAGCACTCATTTTTTGAGCATTACAACTCCTGCGAAATGATTACTTTCACTAACAGGATTTGGTCCCTTCAGTTCAATGGCTTTTAGAAAGTCAAAAAGAGCTGCACAATTAAATCATATTATTCTCATTCAAGTAAGTGGCAAGTAAGTAAGTAGTGTCAAGTAAGACTAATTTCATGTGCAGGGCTTTTTCTTGTAATTAAGTACATTTGCAGTGTTGTTATCCAAAAACAGACTATCTGAATACTTCTTCCACCACTGCTCTTCTGGGGGTAAGTTTAAAATAGCCATGCTGAACATACAATATTGTGTTGAGTATCATGTATCATCTTAAGCCTAAGTCTGCTTCCCTCTAAAAGACTGCACTGATGCAAACAATAATGCAGCAGTATGACAGGGGTGGGTTTCTCATGGCAGCAACTTGAACACTGGTTTATCATAAAGAGATGTGACTGTGAGAGCGTCTCTGACTGGAGGTGTTCCATCATCGTCCTAATCTTCGCATCCTGCAGTGCAAAACCAGGCCCACACCTGCCCATATAATCTTTCCGATCACTCTATTAACCACAACTGTGTGTGTGTGTGTGTGTGTGTGAGAAAGACAAAAAAGAATGGGACTCCAGACCTAAATATTTGTTATCCCCTCCTCTGACTATTCAAAAAATTATCTCTCTGCTGAGCTCCTATCTCAGTTATCACACACACCTGCCAAATGTGACAGCTGATTACGAGCATATACGTGCCTCAGCAAGGATGAACTCACTCTAGGGATGTTGTTCAGGGGAGACCCTGTGCTATTAACAAAACCACAGAGCTCAGGTTGATATTCGGGGGGCTTATCAGGAGTTTAGATGGTGGTTAACCAAATATTAACCACTCTCCTGGCTTTCATATAAACACGACCTTAATGACAGGGTAGGCAGAGTCTCTGAGGACAAAGACTGGCCAATGTATTGGAGTAACTGTCGCAAACTGAGCCAGGGGAAGATGAAACATGAAGTGAGGGAGAGTGAGGTGTGTGGTTGTGGTGTGCATCTATAGGTGGGGGAGCAGATGCTGTGCACTGTAGCGGGTAGGTGTGAGAAACCGAGTGTGTACATACTGCGCCCTCATGTAACCCTGAAAAGCAACTTGAGTTACATCCTGACTTGTGTAACCACACTTTATTTTAGTGTATCTGCCCCTCTGCTTTTTTTAAGCACTATATAAACATTTGTAACACAATATAATGTAGTTGTGGGTTATAATTGTGACTGTATGTCTTATGATTGTCAATCAATCCTGTGTTAAAATTATTTTATATCAACTTACATCAATGGCGGCACGGTGATGTGGTGGTTAGCACTGTCGCCTCACAGCAAGAGGGTTGCCGGTTCGATCCCGGGTGTGGGAGCCCTTCTGTGCGGAGTTTGCATGTTCTCCCCGTGTCAGCGTGGGTTCTCTCCGGGCACTCCGGCTTCCTCCCACAGTCCAAAGACATTAAGACATGCAGATTGGGGACTAGGTTAACTGATAACTCTAAATTGTCCGTAGGGGTGAATGTGAGCATGAATGGTTGTTTGTCTCTATGTGTCAGCCCTGCGATAGTCTGGCGACCTGTCCAGGGTGTACCCTGCCTCTCGCCCGATGTCAGCTGAGATAGGCTCCAGCCTCCCCCCCGCGACCCTCAAGAGGGTGAAGCGGTTAGAAGATGAATGAATGAATGAACTTACATCAATAGGAATCATAAAATATTCATTCAGTTATGAGATAAACTATTCCACATTTTGACATGTTGTTACATCAGCAGCAGCTACAAGCTTTAAGAGCTCAGGATTATTCAACACACTCATCCTGCACAGAGAGGAACCAGCCAGGGGTTTAAGGTGTAAACGTGAGGGTCTGTTTCAACCTGCCCCGTGGCCCGTAGTCTCCAGACACAGTCTAGTGGGAGGGTAGGTTTCGGTTGACAAGTCTGAGCGAAAGTACAAAAAAAAGGAGGCGTGAGAACAAGAAATAAATCTAAGAGTATCGTGGGTGTTTGAACTCTGCACTGAGAGTGCGTGGTTTCTCTATATTTGACTTATCTCTTTGGATTTTTCTGTTACTTTTGAAACAGGTTAAGGACCTTGATGAATTTTCAAATGGAGACTACCGTTGTCCATGTCTAATGGAAATTGTTAAATAATTAATCACTATCACTAAGGAGGAACACATTTATTATATATAGAATATGTAAAGAATGACATATTACAGCATATACTGTTTCATGAATACCAAAGCATTGTGGCTACCAAAGTACCAACAATACCAAAGTCACAATACTTAAATAAAAGCAGTCACAGATACCCAAAACATCTGTATTTGTAACCACGCCTTCATTTTCATTTACTCATACATTCAAGAAAAGTGAATGATATATCTCTGTAAGCCTGTTGTTTTAGTCGTCATCAGCATGCCTAAACTAAAAAGTGTCTACTCTGAACTTGCCAAAACATGACATTTTTTGATGGTCAAATGGTTCTCAACCTTTTTCAGGTCAAGAACTCCTTAAATGATACACATTAAGATACAGATGCCCATTTGGTACAATTTTGCTTCAGCAACCTCCATCTGAAAAGATTTTGGTTATTAGATAAGATTAAGACCAGACTTCTATTGTTTTCAACTACAGCTGAGAAGATAACTGTAGAACAATGAAACCTTTGAAAAGAACAGTCACTCTTATGACTACTGCTCACATTCAGCTCACTTCTAGTGAATTAAATTGTGATAATAAATGGTTACCCTTTTTTCTCAGTCTGTAAAGACCATCCTGATAACATGAGCTTAACATTCTGATTTGATCTCTGTATCAGTCTGAACTTGGTGCTGCCCCAAACACTTTCAGTGGGCTGGAGTACTTGCCTTAACAGACAAACTCCTTCAGTCATTTAGCGTAACAAAACATCAGAGAACATCTTCTTCATCACCACCGGAGCCCGTTGATTAATCAAGCTTTTGCCAAATCCATTTGGAAGCACAGCAAAAATGCATTTTCCTCTATGGAGGTCTTGTCCTTGTCTATTGTTGTTATCGACTCTCTTTCTGCAACAACTCCACTTATTGCTGTGTTTACTCTACTAACATTGGAGTTAGGGCAGATCCCTGGTTCGCTCGATTGGATATTGATTTCTGGATACAAGACGGGGTGGCACCAAGTTCAGACTGATACTAAGAGCAAAAGAGAATGCTGAGCTCACGCCATCAGGATGGTCTTGCCAGGCTACATCTTTCTAGGGACCCCTTGGAACTCCCTCAAGGACCTCTGGAAGTCCCCGGACCCCTGGTTGAGAACCGCTGGTCTAGTCTAATCTAGTTGCATGACACTGATTCACAGTGAATCAGAACTATTAAAAAGAACAATGATTAAAAAAAAACCTTTTTTCTTTCATCAACGTGGTTAACATGGCTTTCCTGTAGTGAGGTAGTGGATAATATATTTATGACACCATAGCGCCCCACAGTGGATGAATGTCATACCTACAATGCCTGCAGTCTTTAATAGTTGCTGGGTCCTATCTGCATAAACGGCATACCATGGTCTGTTGCATGTACACATAAATCTTAACTTTCTAATGTTCATTGATGTGATTTCTGTACTATTCTCAAATATAATGTCGAAGTTTGTTTTGTTGTGTTCTGTTATTCTTCGTGTTAATAAAGTTAATATTGTTATTATATGTATATCATTTGTACAGATTATTCTATAATGTATTATTATGCATGAATATAACATTTTTATATACATATATATTTAAGAAATACTGTATCTACTATATCACTTTGATTTGCACTATATGGAAACTGTTCAATTGATTTTGCAAGGATGTTTCATTTACATACACTGATGCAGGTACTTTTTAAACTCGTTTTATTTGTTATTTATCTATATTTTTAGCCATTTCAACACTTGAATTTAGCTCAGTTGGATCAGAAAGGTCCTACAGTAACACGTGCCCATGAAATATTAAAGCTGCCTGAGCATTTCACTGTGGAAAACCCTTCAGGCATGGAGAATTTTTTGGCATGCAGTTCACATACATATCCACGTCTTTAGAACAGCAAGGGTCAAGACTGTGGATATTTGCCTTTTAACTGTTCTGTAGCTCTCAGTGCCCTTTACATTATTTACAAAGTATCATTTATACCATACATCGGTTTCTATGGGGCCACGCCTGATTGTTAGCACCTGCTGTCAATAGCTTTAATGTCCCATCCCCCTTTACTCAATTCTTTATCAGAATTCCGATACTGGTTTCCATTTGAATTCCAGTGTGCCTGACATACCGTAAGAGGGACATATCCATTTGCAGCAACACAGGTACTGGCATGACTTTAGCATAAAACTGCATGCCAGTCAATTCTTGGTTGCAGATAAATTCATTTAGATAAATAAACGGAACTTACCTTTAACAGGCCCCGCCCTGTGGTGACGCAACCGTTGTTTGGCCCGTGACGCTGCTTGTACACGTAGACTAGTAGGATGTGTTCATTGAAGATGGTGGCGGTGTGTCAGACTCACTGTCCTGCACATTTGTAAGAATATATTTATATTTGTACACATTTCCGACATCGGGTAAGAGTAAATATATACTATCATTCACGATGCTTTACGCTGAACTTTTCGATCTGGTGTCTGTGGCAGATATTCAACTGTTACCCCTGTAGTTAGCTTAGGCTAGTTAGCAACTGATGCTAACTAAGCACCGATGCTAATGCTAACTGACCAGGCAGTGAACCTGTTAAATTATGCTCGACGAGTGGTCAGCGACCTGTAACTGCTCGGCGTTTGCCTCTGTCAGTGTGAAATATGTACAGAAATGATAAATTATTCGTTTTCGGACAGTCTTTAGACGACAGGCGACTTTACATGGCAGTGTTTTGCTGGGTATGGCGTTCAGGACATGTAACGTTGGAGCAATGTAACGTTAGCCTTACCGTTAGCTGTTGAGCCAAGCACTCTGGACCTTTCCTCATAGGCAGCTTAATGTGTAACGTTACGTTAATTTAATGCCGTGTCACAACGAAACGTGTAAGCTACTGGTTAGAGTTCAACAAGTGTGTTTAATGATCAGAAGTAGATAGCGTAACGTTATGTATCAGCAGCTAACTTTGTTTTGTTTCATGTTGACTGTCGGTGAGTTGGCTCGTCGTCGGCGCTAACGTTAGCTTGCAACGGCTCTGAGTCAATTGATAACCAGGGGCACTTGAAAGATCCGGGATTATGTTTTAGAGCGGATCTGGCCATGACTACTTTCCTGCTAACGTTAGGTTAACTCTTTTTGTTGTTGATTTCCCTTTAAATCTTTTCAAATGCTCAATGTCAGCCCGTGCTAGCTCCCTTGAACTTCCTCCTGACAGATGCACAAGTAACGTTTTGTATCCGATCGGTATAATAACACAATCCGGACATAGATAGTGGTTTTACGATCTTCTGATTTGTGTTTGCGGCGTCTTTATTAAAGTGTCACGACAACAACTAACGTTACCAACAAAAGCAATAGAGCTGCACAAATGTAGCTTAGTTAGTTAGCAGCAGGACTTGGTTGACATTTTGCTCATTAACCGTTAGCTACATCAACGAGTTCCTGTTTGGGAAGTGAAATCTTAAAATCAGCTTTCGCTTTGTTTTACCAGATTAACTGTTCTCATCTGACCCAACCAATATATAACTTTAACTGCAATGGCACCATACTATTTGTCAATAGTTTTTAGAAGACACCAGATTCAAAATGACCTTCTGGCAAAAGCTGTGTGTAATCTATAGTAGGTGCTTTTTTAGATTAAGGATTTTTGATTTTCCTCTACTAGTGAAAAATGACCTTACTCAGCAGCTTGTCTTGTTTCAGTGATATTACCTTAAGAATTTTGTTTTGATTTTTCCCCTTAAGCAATTTGATTACCATGTAATAGATATTTTCTTCTCATATGTGACATGTTTCAATCCCACAGAATAAAATAAATGTTTGCATCTATTTGTATGCTCATTTTTCCTCTAATTGAGTAGAGCACCAAGATATTAAAGTAAAACCATTATACTAAGAGTGTGTGATGTAGTCAGACTTGGCATTTAGTACAATTGGTCACTTGCTTTATTATTTGTCATAACATCCTTAAACTGATGTAGAAATTGCCACGTTGTAGCCTACTGTGCGTTTAAAGGATCATAGACCATTACACAAACATAGGTGTGGTAAAGCCCATCGGAGGCATGAGTAGCTTTTTGTTAACCACTCCCTCTTTCCTTTCCTCTGTTCAGCTTTGCCTGACTTTGGTTTCTTCAGTGAACATCTACTAGAGTGACGTGGTCCTCGCACCTGCTAGCTCTGCAACCATGCAGCCCCCTCCTCGGACTGGACCCCCAGGAGCCTCTGGCCCACCTCCTTCTGGGCCCAATATGTTCCGCAGGACCAGGCCTCACAAACATACAGCAGCGGCTACTGCCGCAATGCCACCGGCTACTCAACCCATGACGGACCCTTTTGCTTTTGTCAGAGCTCCTCCCCCTATGGCTGCAGGTGGTCTCCCAACAATACCCAACAGCAACCCTCCACCAATGCAAGCCCCACCAAACACCATGTACTCTCAAGCTGGCTCAGGGCTGCCTCCGCAACCACAGACACAGGAGGACGTCCCAGCTGCTCCCACTGGTCCCCCACCATCCTCTCTGCCAGGGGTGACATTGTTCAACCCTCACAGTACAGCATCTCCTGGTGTTTACCCAGCACCCAGTCCAGCAGGATATACATCCTCACATAGTGAACAGGGCTATTTTAATTCAACAGAACAGACACCATCCATGGCCCCAGAGCCACCACCTGTGGCCTCTGCCCCAGCAGCGGGTCAGACACCTTTTAACCAGGAATTTCAAGGACATCCACCTCCCCAGCCTGTGCCCTTCCAGCCTGTGCCTCCCGCCACCTCCTATTCCCAGTGGGCCCCTGATCACGGAAGTCGCCCTCCTTCAGTTCAGAACTATTTCCAGCCTACTAGTGACCCTCCATCACAAACTTTTAATTTACCTACGCAGACCCAGATGTACCCCTCCCACACCCCATCACCCCATCAGAACACCCCCACTCCTCCAACACAACCTGGACACCCCCAGAATCAGGCACCACCTCCTCTCCACAATCCTGTACAGGCCCCTAGCTCTCAATGGCCTGACCCAAATGCACCCCAGCAGCATAATTCTCACTTCCAGAGCTACTTCAGTCAGAGCTCTGCCCCACAGGACTCGTGGTTCAACCAACCTCCACAGGACTCAGGCTACCACCAAATGGGGACCAGCGTGGCCCATCCTCAGCCCGGGCCTGACTCTACTGGATCTCAGCATGCGTCCAACACTGGTCCTGGGCCTAGTTCTGCTCCTGCCCCAGTCCCATACTCTCAGGAGTCTGGTACACTGTCAATGTTCTTCAAAGACAATGATGTGGAAAATGAAGAAACACTGGCAGGAGAGAGAAATAAAGCAGTGAATGGTATTCCTGGATCTTTTCAGCATCACAGTAACCCACAGGCCCACAGTGGCCTTGCAGATGCACCTTTGGATTACCAAGGCCTCTCTCCGCAAGATCATTCACACCTACCGTACATGAATGATGGCAACCATGCGCCACAGGGAAGTACCCAGAAGCCCCCTGATTCACAGTACGACCATGTGGAGAATTTAGAGTGTGTCCCGAACCTGGAAGTATTACCCAGTGAAACCCGCGGCAGCCTTGCTGCCACTCCAGCCCATGGAGTAGACCAGTATGAAACCGGGCCTAACCTGGAGACTCCAGATTCTGTTCCAAGACCAATTAGATCTGCCAGTGTGTCATCCAACTATAGCAATATGAGCCATGGAAGTGGAAGTGGCACTCGTCGACATCATGGAGTAGTAGGTACCTTTATTCAGCAGGAGAGTCCTCGTCTCACTGATGATGCTAACCTGTCTGCTGCCACTGGAGGCTACTTTGAGCAGATTGACACTTCTCCAGCTGGAGATATGGGTGCACAACAGAGCCCCATGGAGCAGACTTGGCCTCCCACACCTAGCCCTCCCAAACCAACTGGTATCTTTCAGGCCAGTGCTAACAGCTCTTTTGAACCTGTGCGCTCACATGGGGTTGGAGTGCGTCCTGCTGAGGTCGATAGGGCTAAAATGGTAGCGGAAGGGGGTGTAGATTCTACACCTGGCAACCTGGAGCAGCCACCAGATAATATGGAAAATATTTATGGCCCAGGACACCCCTTGCCTGCTGGGGTGGGAGGTGGTGTTCCTCATCTACCACACCCAGTGGTTCATTCCCACTCTCGACCTTCATCCCGTGCTTTTGGGGCCAGTCGACCCTGTGAGAGCCCTGCCACTACTCTGTGGGCACAGCATGATCCTCCTAGCTTGGGCGCTAACATTCTCCTAGCCCCTGCTGCCCCGACAGTTCTTGCCCCTTTACGAGAGCCTAGTGCTGATGTCATCCAACCCCCAGAGGATGCCCCACTGGACTTGCAGCCCTCCCAGAGAGTCCAGCCAACTTCACAGCAGCACTCAGAGAACCTAGAGAACCCACCACAGGTGAGTGAGGCAGAGCCAACTGACTCTCAAGGCAACCTGGGCTATGCGTCTCTTCTTGTGTCTGACTCGCTCCACCAGCCTGTTTTAATTGCCCCGCCAGTATCTAATTACAGTGTGATTCCCCCCAGCACCCCTGCTCAAGCACCCAGTCAAAGTAGCCTTAGGGAAACTACCCCCCCTGTGAGATCACTCGCACAGGGACAGGGTGCCAGTACTTCCCAACCGCCTTCAGTAAACTCTAATCAGAATCCAGTTTTTCCCCCTGGACCTGTAAGCTTCAGTTCGTCAGCCTCTAACCAAGGCCCGCTCAATCTGACCCGTGACAACATAGAAGCGGCAACATCAGACCCCACAGCTCCGCCGCAGTCTCAGCCAGTCCGCCCTCCTCTTTCAAGGGGCCAATCATTGGTTGGAGACAGCCACTCTGCTATCGGTGTTAATCCACAGGCTTCTCTGACTGCTCCTGTCTCTAATCATAATCAGCCATCAAATTATGAACTGCTTGATTTTTCTATGCACCAATCACAAGCCCAAAACCAAGCATCTGGCCACCCTTCTTCTCTGCACGAGTCTCCACAGTCTAGTAATGGATTTTACCTACAGGTCACCAAAGATGCTCAGCAGGGGGGAAGAGCGATAGGGAATGTCCTTGTCCAGACCCCGGCCTCTTCATCTACCCCACAGGTACCACCAGCATCCTCCCAAGCAGCTGCAAACACCCAGCCGCCAGCAGCGGCTGAACCTCCTAAAACATCTGATTCTCAAGCTGCACCGCAGGGACAAAATGATGCTCCTCCTGTTCCAGCAAGTGGAGCACAACCTCCCCGTGACCAGTATCCACCTCCAGCACAGGGGCCTGCTGCAGGGAGTGCCCCTCCTCCCCCTGCTGGATACCCTCCAGGGCCTCGAGGACCTGTACCTACAGGAGCTCCCCAGCCAGCTCCTGCAGAGCCACCTCGACCACCCTCCTCTGCAGGCAGCCAGCAAGGCTATGGGCCTCCTCCTGCAGTGCCTGGGCAGATGTATGGTGGCTATTATGGTAATTATGGAGAATACCCAGATAGCAGAGCAGCTTATCCTCCTGGCCAGTACCCACCTCCACCTGGGGATCCCAGAGCACAGCACTATTATCAAGTATGTGGAAAATCCTTTTCTTTTATGCTAGCTTGCAGAATGCGCAGGAAGAACCTGCATGAGCAACTGCTGCCATGAAATGTAAGAATTTGACCAGAAAGTCCCTTGTTGCTTTTATCTTTTAGGATGGTCCATACAGAGGTAGAGGAGATCCTTGGTATGGTAGATATGAAGGACAGTCCGCAGGGTATCGTGATCCAAACTACCAGTACAGAGAGCCTCAGCCAGAACGACCCAGCTCCAGAGCCAGTCAGTACTCTGACAGGCCCTCATCCAGGTGTGTGAAAGTGTTTCTCTGTCCTCTGTGGCATGTACCTCATGCCAAGTGAGCACTTTTTTATTTTGTTGTTCATTTATTTGTGCAATTTACAAAGTGTCTTACTTAATTAAGAGAATATTGAAAACTAGGGAAGGAATCCCTCTCGGCGAGTTTGGTTTTGTTCCGGATACGTGTGTGTTAAGTAAATATTTAGATGGTTATGGCACTTGACCTGTAAATCTCACCTTCTCCTTGCTTTCTCCCACAGGCAAGGCTATCCTGATGAGTACCAGAGAGCAAACCGAAGTGCCTACAATGATTATTATGCAGATTACGCCAAGCACTATGATTATGGAGGTATGAGCCACAGAGTTAAAAGCTGTGATTGCTTACTAGAATGAATATCATGCATGATCCCCTTCTTCTTCCTCACTGCATTTGTTGTAATATAATTAGTTCACAAAACACAGTCTTCCTGCATTTATAATGATTTTTGATATGAATCTAATGCTACTCCTCTCCATATTTTCTATCTGAAGCATACAATTACGGACAGTATGACCCGCGCTACAGAGGATACTATGATCAGTCCTACTGGACTAGTTATGATGATGGCTACAGAGGCAGAGACAGCTACTATAATCAACAGCCGTATCCTGCCAGGTATGCAAAGAAAGCCATTTGTGTCCATGTGAATTACATTTATTCATACATGGTAATAGATGGAGCTGTGTAAGAAAGTGTTGTAGCTGTTAATGGTGTATATTTTTTGTCGATTTATTTGTGACTGATGGAAAATTGATTCAGTAGATTTAAAACAGAAGCCTCGTTAAGATTTACTTCTGATTTGCTTGTTACATTTATGACTTTTCATCGACTACATTGTTGCACGTAGTTTTGCCAAATTGCCTCATGAAAATGTAATGCCGTAAACTTTACCCACAGGAAAGAGGGCTATGATGATCAGTGGCGGTACTATCCTGGCTATGATGCCAGTTTTGATGAAGATTACCGGCGACGTGGAGACGGCGACGACTTTGACAGACGCAGCGTCCACAGCGAGCAGTCGGCACACAGCGTGCACAGCTCCCACAGCCACCACAGCAGACGAAGCAGCTTCAGCTCACGATCACAACAGGTACATGTGCAGATTTTTCTTGTATGTGTTGGCTGTTTTTTTTTTTTTACCTGTTGCTATAATACAATACAGGGGCTCAAAGGCTGAGCCACTTGTTGTATCATCTGTAAGGTGTACTTAATGTTTCTTTACATCCAAAATTAGCTGGAAAGAAAACAGGAATGTGTTTAACATTTGGTGTGGGGTTCCTGCACTCATAGCAAGCTCTAGCCACTAGAGCAACTCGGATACATCTTTTCCTACAGTACTGAAGGCTTACTTTTTTTTTGCAGAGAGTTGAAGAGATTTAGAAGATTGAATCACTAATTATGTAGCTACAGCCAACAGCTGGTTAGCTTCCCTTAGCATATAGACTAGAAACAGTGGGAAATGGCTTCTTAAAATCATATTCATAGATGTCAGAGTGATACTGACCTTCTTATCTAGTTCTCTGCAAGCAATCAAATAAGTGATTTTTCTAAAACCTGGAACTATTGCTTTAAGGGATGTTCTTCTGTTGTGGTTTATCACTTATAAAGGATGAAGCCAACATTCAGATAGTGGTTGGTTTCTCGTGACATCCCCTGAAGCATCTTCTCTTTACTGTTAGCTATGCTTTGCAGCAGTCGGATGATCATTCCTGGTTCTCAGCTGCTTTATTCAACAGTTCTTTGACAATTTTAGGATGACCTGTGTCACCTCTGTAGAAACAGTTTATATGCAAGTAAGTGGGATAGCTGATAATGGCTACATCAGGTTTTTATTATGCCTCTGCGACAGCTGTGGACCAAGGCATCGCGTTTTGGGGTCATGCGTTTATCTATTAGTCCCACCATTATTGTGAACATTTCAAGAATGCTTTCGGGAAATGTCATCAAATTTTGCACAAATGTCCACTTGAACTCGAGGATGAACTGATTACATTTTCATGGTTGAAGGTCAAACGTCAAGGTCTCTGTGACCTCATGAAACACATTTTTGGACCAAGCTCAAAAGCTCATCTTCACTGTGACATCATAATGTTCTGCAAAAACATTTTTTGGCTATTACAAGTCATAACACATGAACAGAAGGGAAGACATTTGGTCAGATTCTGGACTGGTGTCAGTAATCTTTGGTACTCACCTTGAAACTGTACTGATTGTGTAGATCCTCTGTGCTGCCAGGTCGAAGATGTGTGTGAAGCACGTTTTAGAATTTGTAGCTTCTTTGCAGCAACATCCATATTTGAAGCTTTGTCTTGGCCACATGTGAGTCTGGAAAGACATGGATGTAAACTCCAACTTGACTGGCAGAGGCATACAACTGCAAGGCGGTAATTCTGGTTATGTAAGTCTCATGACACCTCGAGTGAGAAGTATGTGCTGATATTTGAGACTAACTGTCTGCTCTCATTCTAAATGCTTATTAGGACTGCACTATTTACTCCACACTTACACTATTGTGACTTGCATAAAGTTTGCAGCATCATCCCAGTAACTATCAGCAGCACAGATATCGACCTGGCAGCTCATCTGAAATCAAAAATGTTTTTGGTGTCATACTTAACAAATGGCTAACTCTGCTCACCTTAAAGTTGTTTTGAATCTTCTTAACTGTTTTTTGCTCTTGAATATGTGTGCAACTTACAGTATGTGGGTGTTTGCTTGTTTTATTTGTCTTCCCATTTGATAATTAACTCTGTTTGTCTTCCCGCCCTGCAGAGCCAGGTATACAGAAGCCAGCCTGATATAGTGTCAGCAGTCTATGACACCACATCATCCACTTTGGCTGTGGACTACTCCTATGGACAGTACCCAAACCAGGCCGATGCCGCCCAGAACTACAGCCAGTACCTCTATCCCTCTGAGTACCCCACAGAGAGCACCTGGATCGCCCCTGAGCAACGTAAGTACACAATGCTAAAGTTGTTATTTTTAGTGATTGGTAATGCTTCAAAAATACCAACAGATTAGACCAGCGTGTAGGCAGAAGACTTTGAATATTATGTTGGTTCCTTCCTATGCCCACCTGCTCTTGGTCTTACTGATTTCTTCCGTGTAGCTCCTCCTCGTCCTGCAACCCCAGAGAAGTTCACCATACCCCACCGCTGTGCCCGCTTCGGACCTGGTGGTCATCTGGTCCAAGTTCTGCCCAATCTCCCCTCAGCTGGACAGCCTGCTCTCGTTGATATCCACAGCATGGAGGTACTTTTATAAAAGATTGTATTCCAGTACCTTAATGTAGGAAGTTTTGGTCCATTGCGTTTTTTTCATGAAGACCTAATGACAACAGGAAGGGATCTAAGTATAGGGTCTTTATTTTACTCTTACACTATTTCCACCATTCCCTCACACATAAAGACTAGTGCAATAGTTAAAAGGAACAAGGAACTGAAAACTATGTAACCAGTTGCTTTACAGTAAAATTTAGCACCCTGACTGCTTCTTTAGGCTCTTGAGAATATGTGAGACATGTTGCTTAACCTGACAGGAAAAAATTAGAACATGATAGATGTACATTTCCTCTGAACCATATCTGTATTTACAGACGATGCTGCAGGATACCCCGGATCAGACAGAGCTACGAGCTTTTCCAGGACCTCTTGTTAAGTAAGTGCATTTGCCCTTATTGTCCATCACGCATGGCTTTGAGTCACTGACATTCAAAGGACAAGCCTAGCAAAGTTATATATTTTTGATTTCGTTAACAAGTCTCATGAAAACACCAAAATCAACAATGCATTATTCTGTCTCTTAGTACTTCACGACTTCCCTCACCTCTGTGTCTCAGCCCGCAGCCCATTGATTCCCACTAAACATGTAAAACTAATGAACAGGTCAAGAACATCTAGTTTCTTTTCTTGGGCTATGGCTACACAGACAATACTTGTTGCTAACCCGTTGCACTTCTTGTGTCCTGTCCATCAGGGAGGAGACTCATAAAGTGGATGTGATAAAGTTCTCCCAGAACAAAGCGCTGGAGTGTTCTCGTGACAACAACCTGTTGGACAGGGACTCTGCGCGCCTGCTTTGGGAATTCATCATGCTACTCTGTAGACAGAACGGGGTAAGACTATGTGAACAGAACTTGGAATTTGTCAAAGTAGGAATGTAACTTGACATACTTGCCTGAAACAACTGTCTCATTGCCATACTTTGTTTCTAAAGACCGTGGTCGGCACGGACATCGCTGACCTCTTGCTGAAGGAGCATCGTTCTGTCTGGCTTCCCGGCAAAAGTCCTAATGAAGCCAACTTGATTGATTTTAACAATGAGCCACTGGCACGAGCTGAGGAAGAGCCGGGAGCTGGACCACTGTCCCTGCTATCGGACACTTTCATGACTGTACCAGAGAACCTTGGCAAGGAAACAGAACGCTTCAGGGAGCTGTTACTGTTTGGCCGCAAGAAGGTAAAGAAATACCCTCTTTAACTGTTGTAGAGTCATTTAACTAGTATCCTGTGAAATCTGAAATGTCTTCGTCTGTGAAATAGGATGCACTCGAAGCAGCTATGAAGGGAGGTCTCTGGGGACATGCCCTGCTGTTGGCTAGTAAGATGGACAACAGAACACATGCACGTGTCATGACAAGGTAAAGCACCACTGACATAAAAGGTTGTGACTCATAAACTTGACTGCATCTTTATTCTGTGAATGTTTTTACAGATTCACAGAGGTACCATTAATTTGTCTATCTTTGTTGTTTAGGTTTGCCAACAGTTTGCCAATCAATGACCCTCTGCAGACGGTGTACCAGCTGATGTCAGGGAGGATGCCTGCATCAGCCACTGTAAGTATTACGTCAAACCCCCTTCAGTTAACCCCTCGCTTTTTTTCACAGTTATTCTTAAGGAGTTGCATAGATAGTGTTTTGCAGGTGTGTTTTTATTACCACTTCACTTGAGATATTTACTTTTTTTTTAATATAGTGCTGTGGCGAGGAGAAGTGGGGTGACTGGCGCCCTCACCTGGCCATGGTGTTGTCTAACCTCACACACACTCTGGATCTGGATACTCGCACAATCACCACCATGGGTGACACTCTTGGTACGATATAATCAAAAAGGCAGTCTCAACAAAAAACGTTGTTGCATGCTTCACCATAACAAACATATTACCTCACGTTCTGTCTGCACACTTTTTGTGTCGTTGCAGCTTCCAAGGGGCTGATTGATGCCGCACACTTCTGCTACTTGATGGCCCAAGTTGGTCTGGGAGTTTACACAAAGAAGAGCACCAAGATGGTTCTGATTGGCTCCAATCACAGGTTAGAGACAGAGGCAGGAACACACACACACACACACCGTTGTAAATGAGCATTATATCCCACAATACAGTTTGCACATAATATGCCTTACATATAATCTTATCTTTATCTTTTTACTCTAGTTTTCCCTTCTACCAATTTGCGTCCAATGAAGCAATCCAGAGGACTGAGGCCTATGAGTATGCTCAATCACTGGGCTCCCAGCCGTGCTCACTGCCCAATTTCCAGGTAGATTTTTTTTTTTTTTTGGGTATTTACTGACAATAAGTCATGATATCAGTAATAATACCAATACTAGCACCCTTGAAGAAACCAGTACCAAGAGAGAACTGCATTTGATAGCTTCTTTATTGTACTTTATTGTACTGTGAACATTTTGGTGACATCTCAGTGCGCTGAACTGCAGACTCCATCAAATACACCACGCTTGACTTCAACACACCACACACTGTATGGGTTGTAGATGCGGTGGTAGTTATCCAAATACGCATTGCATTTAAATGAAGAATGGTTGTGGCGATTGGCTGCAGGCAAAACCATACAAAGGTCATTTTTTGTAGTCATGTATTGTTTGACTGGAGAAGTACTGAGCAGTGAATTATTTTGGTTGATACCTTAAAGGTGTCCAGTACCAATACCCAGCCCTACTGATAAATGAATGAAAACAAATACACAGTTTATCTCTCATAGAGGTGTCCTAAAAAACAATAAATGACTATAGTTGTTGCACACTTCTGAAGAATAGTTTGCATTTCCCTACCTGTATGGCATAGCACATGTATGTAACATTATATTACTGAGGTCTAACACTGTCCTTTGTTCTTTGTGTTCTCTTATAAGGTGTTCAAGTTGATCTATGCATGCCGCTTGGCTGAAGCAGGCCTGAGCGCTCAGGCCTTCAACTACTGTGAAGTTATCTCTAGGAATGTCCTCATGCAGCCTTCCTACTACTCTCCTGTGTTCATAAGCCAGATTATACAGGTATGCACTCTCTCTCCTTCTTGTCCTTTCCCCTGTACCTCCTCTGTTCAGATACCACTTTCAGCATTCTAACAAATGTTATTCATGCTGTATGTTGACAGATGTCGGAAAAGCTGCGATTCTTCGATCCCCAACTGAAGGAGAAGCCGGAGCAGGAGTTGTTCAATGAGCCTGAATGGTTGATCCACCTCAGACAGCTGGATAGACAGATAAGGGTGAGAGGGCGGAACAGTGTTTGTTGTTAATTGTACTAATTTTTATTTACACAAAGGATATTCAAAATGAAGCATTTTGTTTTTGGAGGGTTTTTTTTTTGAGTGTAGGCACTTCCAATAATGTGCTACTTGGATTGATTGTAACCAAAGCTGGGCACATGTGGCATGAATGAATCTGTATTTGAAAACTCAGGCATTGTATTCGATGTAGAGGTTGTAGAGTTTCAACATTAATGGTATTTGAATTGTCTTTGTAAGTTGTTCTCATGTATCAATCAAATGTTGAATGTCCTTTTGTTTTTATTTGTTTGGGTTTTTTTAGACAGGGGAGTTTACATGCAATGAAGACAGAGCAACTCCTGCACAGTTCGACTGCAGCAGCCCCAGTTCTGAGTCAGACGAGCCCAGTCCGCCTGAACCTTACAGCATGCCTGTGGAGTTGGATGGCCCCACCCCTGACAACCCACTAATGAGCTCATTACTGCCTGGGCCTCCACCGCAGGGAGTACAGCTGATGCCTCCAGGTGTGTGTGTATAAATGTATTTGTGGTTCTTTAACCTCTGTTTACTAGAGAGGTGAGCCAGATACAAAATGCATCAGATCTCAACTCTTCTGTTGTCTCTCAGCTCCCACCTCTATCCTCCAAGATGGGATGGCCCCACCTCAGCCTTTATCCCCCAATGACGTGCCCCAGTTCTACCCAGTACCCCCCAGTGGACCACCAGGCCAGATGCCCATCTCAGGCTACCCTCCACAGGATCCTGGCTTCGCCCATCCTCCCTTCCAGCCTCAGTCTGAGCAGATAGATATGTTCCCTGGAGCCCATCAGTCCCATCAGCAGCAGTGTCCCCCACCTCCTCAAGTGGGCCAAATGTCACCACACATGTCCCCCACTCAGGTGCCGCATTCGCCTGTACGAATCAACCCCCCGCCACTCCAGATGCCTCAGCACATGCCTCAGCATATTCCCCAGCATATGCCCCCTTCTCCCGGGCACATGCCACATGTGGAGCAGATGTCCCACGCCCCACCAGAGATGCACCCTGCTCAACCAATGTCATCCTCCCCACCCAGTGGCTCCTTCACGCCAGACCTGTATGACCACATGGCTCAATTGGTGAGTATCTGGCTGTCTGAATATTGAAAAATAAAATATCCTTATTCTTCTTTCTTTCAGCAACATTGCAGTTCTCTGTCTATATAAGTGTGCTTGCCTTTGTGTTGAGTAAATAGTAACTGCTACTGAAAATATGTTGTTTTTCCTGCCGTTGCAGGGTGCTGGGAGGAGATCAAGGACTACTTCACAATCCTCAATGCATATGGTGAGTTTGTGTGTCACATATAAACTGCTAAAATACTTTATGCCTGAGGGTTTTTCAGTTTAATCTTTTCAGTGCTTATTTGTATTTGCACTTGTTCTCAGAAAGGAAATGGAGCAGGTTGCTCATGTGTCCACAAAAGTATATATGGCTGCACAGCAAATTGTGGTTTTACATGGCACCCTCAAAACAAGCTCTTTGGACACAGGGCTCAAAAGAAAGGTGTACATACATATTATTCTCCGTCTACAGGTTTCAGGACGTCGCTCCCGCACCACTTCTGAATCTTCCACTCACTCTGGCGGAAGAGAGCGGAGCAACTCGGCTGCCATGCAGGCCTCTCCACCTCCGCCTTCAATTCCTGAACAGCCCAGCAGAGAAGAGGCCAAGAAAGTCAAGAAAGACTCCCCGAAAAAGGTTCATATTCACACACATGACCGTTCAGACCCTCAGTCAGTGCTTCTGAAGCGTTCATTAGTGATCAGTGCCATGTCCTTTCTGTTACACAGGGTGGTGGTGGTGGTGGTGGAGGTAGTAGCTGGATAAAGTGGCCCTGGAGGAGGAAGAATGAGGCACACTTGCCAGATGACAATAACAAATCTGTGAGTTAGAGCTGTTAGATGTGCAGGACTTATTGAAGCATTCCTTTGTATTCAGTTTCACATTTTGGCACAGATTTTGTTTATGTGCTTTTTCATATGACCAGAACTAATAAGTTATGCTCTGTTGTTTGTTTTCAGATTGTTTGGGATGAAAACAAGCAGAAATGGGTCGACTTGAACGAGCCTGAAGAGGAGGTCTGTAATGTTGTTTATTTTCCAACAAGACAGATTGATATTTTTTAAATGGACTGGTTTTGTTAAAAGCTTAGCGATAAACCCGTTTTGATTTTATGGTTGTCTTTTAGAGTAAGCCCCCTCCACCGCCTCCCTCTGGCTTCCCCAAGATGCCTCAGATGCCTGGCCCCGGAGGGCCTGCCTCACCCCCGAGTGGCGGTCCTCCTGTCAACATGTTCTCCAGGAGAGCAGGTGAGATGAGAGTTATTTGCTGTTGCGTTAGGATTCACGAACGCCATGCTCGACCTTGCATTATACCTTTGACTGCTGAATTGCAAGTTGCAAGTTGACACCACATATAATAATTGTCTGACAAATGAGTCAATCAGTGCACGCACCTATTTCCGCTGTTTCTTGACACTTATATGTGTCTCTTTCTTTTTAGGCACGAAGAGCAGATATGTGGATGTTCTTAATCCTAGTAGAATCTCTAAACCAGGCGGATTAGCCCCCGCTCCTGCAGACATCTTCGCTCCTTTGGCACCAATGCCAATGCCCGCTAACCTATTTGTGCCTAGTTCAGGTGAGTGTCATGTTTCAGTTCTGTTAAATAATAGGCGTAAAATAAGATGTCTTAATTTCTATGTGTAACAGTACAGTCTCAAACAAGGGGCACCTGGTGGTTGCAGATGGTTTTTGTTTTATATTCAAAGGAGGAGTCACTGTACAATTTAATAAAATATTTTTCTGTATCCCTGTTGTAGCTCCTGACGATCAACAACCTCTGGAGGGCTGTGAAGGAGGAAATCAGGAGCAGAATTCACCAAACACAAGCGCTGCTCCACAGGTATCTGTTTGACATGCTGTTAGGTGGATTTTGTCACCAGCTAGGCTTTTTCCATGCTAAGCTAAGTAAGCAGGCTGCTGGCAATAGCTTTAAGTTCTGACACAGACATGAATGGTGCATCAATCTTCTCATCCAGCTCTCTGCAAGAAAGCATAAAGATTGTTTCCCCAAATGCTGAACTTTCTACACAGGGATATGTTAAAGAGCTGTCGTCTTCAGATAGCACCTAAGATTCAAACCATGCAAGAGAGCCTTTATAACGTGTCAAGATGGCAGATCAGGGTTTATTTAACAAGTCAACATACGTCCAAATCTGAAGCTCTACTCATCCAGATTCCCTTCTGTTTCACTTCAATCTGTTCAGATGTTCAACCCCACGTTGTTACCACCTGCCCCAGAAGGTCCTCCCGTGCCTGATGGCTCACAGTCCGGGGAGGTAAGACAAATTTCTCCTGTCAGCTGCTCCTGTAGCACCATAGTACCATCATGCCACCACTGAATCATGATGCCCGACACCCTAACAGCCAGTGCGTGCAGTGTGCTTATTTGTATGAACCTGAGTTAATGTGAGAGGGTGAAAGAACGTGGGAATGCATGCATGTCAGTTTAAAATCTTTCCCCATAATCATGCTAAATGCACAGCCTTGATAAAATGTAAAATCTGTCTGTGTTCCATTTGCTGTTTTAATCAAATTCTCTCCATGTGCGTTGTTCAAGAATCATCATTTTCTAACGCTGATTTTATTTATTTTCATTCTGAACTGGTGGATAGTGGAAACAGATCTAATCCAGTGCATGGAAGATTATTAATCTGGGTTTGTGTTTTTGTTGTCTACTGTTTATTTCCCTCCTGCTGTCTTTAGCTCTCACGTTCTAGCTCAATGAGTTCTTTATCACGCGAAGTGAGTCAGCATTTAAACCAGGTACCTCTAGCTGGGCCTCAAAGGGTCCACTCTCACCCCTGTCTGCCGACCACCTAGCTCACCACATCACTAGTAGCACGCCTCACCATTTGCACCTGAAGCTTCACTGCCCATCTAACCCAGGAACCCGCCTGCTCGCCAACCTGCTGTTTCCAGCATGTCTGACTTAACTCTGCATCTGTTATGGTCAACCAAACCCAGCAAATGGTCAAAAAAATCTTGTCACTAGTGATGACAGTAAAGTTCCTTATTTTTAGCCCTGCTAGCAGCGTGACTCTGTGGATGGTTAATTGCTCCACCACTATGGTCCAGACTGAAATACCTCAACAACTATTGGAAGAATTACCATTAAGTTTTTGTACAGACATTCATGGTCGTCTGAAAATCAATCCTGCTCACACACAAAAATGAGGTTGAATTTTTTTGTACTTTTATTGAAATATGCATTAAAATTTGGTTCAGACATTCATGTCCCCTCAGGATGAATTCCAACAACTCTGGTGATCCCTTCACTTTCCATCTACCACTGTCATCAAAATTTTATGGACAGATATTTCCATCAGCCTCAGCTGTACTTTGAGTTTGGTGCTGATTAGCAAATGTTAGCATGCTAACATGTGAACAGAGTAACCAACCCCTGCTTGTCACTGTGAACATGTTAGCATTGAGTTCAAAGCAAAGATGTACCCAAGTACAGCGTCACAGAGCTGCTAACGTGGCTGTAGACTCTTTAAGGAATACTTCACTCCCCCAAAGGACCATTTGTATAATCAGTTACTCACCCTGTGTTACACTGAATTTGTAAAAAACGTTTTCCCATCATGCCTCTGGTAGACGAAGAATTCTGAAACTGAAATTTCTTGATCAGTTGAAGTCAAAGGCGACCGCATCTAACAGCAACAGAATTCTAACAGAACAGTTATTGATAAACTGTCACACAATTCGTGCAGTATAATCCAAGTCTCATTTAGCCAGTTGTATGTTCAGTACTTTCCAAACAGACACATCTTTCCAAATAGGAACTGAAACAAAAAATTAAACTTAATCAATACTCACTTCAAAGCCAGACTCCACTGACAAAAACAGTAATTTTACTTTGCTCAACACAGGAGCTGCTGGTCTACGACTGCCTTGATCAGTTAGTTTGTTTATGTTGTTGTGTGACTTTGGTGTTTAAGAAAATAGTTCTGATTCAGCAAAGTCACACAATAATACAAACAAACAACCAATGAAGGCAGCAGTAGACCGGCAGCTCTCATGTTCAGCGAGGTAAAATTACTGTTTTTGTCAGTTGAGTCTGGCTTTGAAGAGAGCATAGATAAGTTTCACTTTCAGTTCAGTTCCCTGTCAACAAAGACTGTCTGTTTGGGAAGTACTGAGCTTATGACTAAATGAGACTTCATTCATTGAGCATTTTTTCGGTTTTTCGGATTCCGTGTTCTTTGTGGAGGCAAGTAAGAAAAATAAAGTCTTCTTCACAAATTCAGTGTAACACAGGGTGAGTTACTGATAAACAAATGGTCATTTGGGCTCTGAAGTATTCCTTTAAGTCTTGTTTATATACTACAGTAGTGAAACATCTCCTATCTAAGTCGCTGGGTAATTTTGAGCCACAGATCAGAGTGAAGCATGCTGGAGACTGCTTGTTGTCATTGGGACACACAGCTTTGATAAGTCATCCTAAAGCTTGCATGGTTACTAAAATAAGTGAAACAGTGGTTTGTAATGTTGCCTCACTGTTGATCCCAGTCTTCCTCGCCATCACTTTTCTTTGCCCTCTGTTTTATAATGTTGCCAAACCCTTGCGTGGCACCTCTGCCCATAATAGTGGTGGAATAGAAACACTGCACACACTGTAATGACTCTGTTCCTTGCAGAGTCATCCTGCCCAGGGAGCTCCACCCACCGGAGGCGTCACCTTTTATAACCCTGCACAGTTTGCACAGGTGAGGATTTTTAAAAAACTCTCTGTTTTGTGTTCCTTTTCACTTCATAATGCTTCTTCCTCACTGTTGTTTTCACCTCTTTCCCCAGACAAGTGCACCATCAGGAGGTGGACACCGCCCTGGACGCTTGGGCGGTCAGCGTCAGTACCCAGTGATGAAATAAACATCTTGCAGAGAGATTGTGTAAACAGACTTGTTGGATAGAGTGATATCCTACCTGGAAGGAAATCAAGCACATGGACATACTGATCTCTGCCTAAAGGACCCTTCTTTTTGCCCGCACCTAACAAGAGCATAATCACAGTCTCCATCATGTCGATCTTTGTCAACAGCTTAACCACTCTATCATCTTCCTCCTTGGTTCAGTAATCATCACTGGTACATTTTTAACAAGGACTGTGTTTTCTTGAAGGGCTTTTTTCCTGCATCCAAACAGAAAACAGACAGTTGTGTAATGGTGTTAACATACACACACACACACGTAAAGTTTTCACAAACAAACTACGTGTTCATGGACAATAAATGTGTCGCTCCTCCCAGCTGTCCAGCTTCCCCTCAAATCTAACACTGTTAACAGACTGATCATCCCAGATTGTGTTTTAGGTTTGCGTCTGAAGTCCTCATGTCTGTGTTTGACTGATTGTATGTGAGATGGATGGATAGAAAGAAAGTGGCACCTTTTTAATTTCATACTGTCGACTTGTACGTTCATTTGTAGCTCTTCAGTGTTCTTCTGTCAACTGGAGATGGCATTTTGCGTGAGAATGAATCGTGTCAATAATGCATCGTCTGCTGTGTTGTTTGCTTTTCCTCAGTCATTGGATGACACAGGAGAGACACTCACAACCTGAGGGTTGGAGAGAGCCCGCAGTGTCAGGGTGCAGCCCGTTTCAGATATTTATTTAAATGTCCTCCTGCCCATCAACAACTCTTGATTTTAAAGATGTGTCAGGGTCATTCGTCCGAGTCAGGCTTCGGTTTCTCCTCCGAGAAACGTGACAGCATTACTGAAGCGAGGGGTAGGAATTGGAATTAAAACAGCGTCTTAAATGTCGCTAAAAATAAATCTATCCAAATATTTGTATATCAGATTGATTGTATTTATGAGCTGTAGGCATAAAGGTGTGTGTGTGTGCGTGTGTGTGAAGAGCAACTAATTTTTCCTGATTAGCTTTGAAGAAAATGCATTTATGATTCACCAGAGATGACATGGATTCATATTCTGATTGTTTGTATTGGCCGCTTCTGCAGACAAATAAATCTTTATCTAAATTGTGAAATGAGAGTTAATTGTACTCTAAATACTTCCTTGTCATTTTAATTTACTGATATAATTTTTAATTCAGCCGTGTTTTATCCCGAATGTTTTTGATTCAGTGGTTTTGTAGACATCACATTATGATTTTTAAAGGTCCCCTTTTGTTTCAGAGGAGGAGTTGTTTCCCCCAGTGTTTTAAAATTCCTCATGTAAAAAATCTTAACATAAGACGGTAAATACAAAAGGTGGAAACAAAATGGTAATAAAGTTATTTTTTGCGCTCTGTAGCACTTTGAAAGAGATGTCTGTTGGTTTCATTCATTAGAGTTTTGTTTTTCAAATAAGGTCACTCAAATATTAAATCAGGGTATCCACAGGTATCAGACACTTACCTTTAATGCTTTTTTAAAAAGGTAATTTTTAACTGAATGTAAGAGTGATTTTTGGACAAATCTTTCTTACTCAATCTTTGCATATATGTATATATCTGTAAATATGTGTTCCTGTGCAGTAATATGGTTAATAGAGTGAGGTAGGTTAATCCATATTTTGCCAACAAGTATAAAGTAAAAAGCCAGTAGTAGGTTCAGTGGTAGGTTCAAAGATATCTAACATCAGAGATGTGGACTTTCAGACAAGAGCTCGACTTATTTTGATAAAGATAAAAGATTGATCAGTTAAATAAGATTAAATGTTTGTGGCCTCAAATTCAAATTGGTGACTATATTAATGACTTTAAAGGCCTAATATTTATAAAACTGAATTTAAGACTTTTTAATGATGTGCAGACACTTTTTAGATTTGTCCTAAATATTGAATGCTTGACTTTTTGCAGTATTCCGGCTGATCTTAAAAAGCCTTACAAGGCATTAAATTCCTTATCTATAAATAAGGCCTTAATTTGTATTACAATGTCTTAAATCAATCTTTCAAAAGTCTTTGAAATGGTAAGACATGGGAAGTAGGACATTATGAATGTTTTTTCTTATATTGTTAAATCTTAAAATAATTCTAATCAAAGGTAAAATGAACACGCTTTTTTTGAAGCAAACCAAATACTTTTATAAGATAATATGTTCATTGTTTTCTTTGTGTTCCACTCAAAAGTATTAATATTTTTTCAGCATTTGAAGTAGATCATCTAACTTTTCAACTAGATCAGAAAAGTAATGTTATTTGTTACAGTAAACATTTGTCCCTGACCCTAAATTAACCTTTAATTGACCCTAAAATGTAAAACTGGTCTTAAATATCACTCCGAGGGTCTTAAATCTAATGTGGCTTAAGCTGTAGGAACCGTTCTGGCAAGCATGTGTACCTAAGGAAAACAAAACCAGTGGAGCTGCCACATTTGCACATAACTCGTAATGCAAATGTGATGAAAATATGATCAATGACAGTGAATGACAAAGACATTATTAGCTGACAGAGATCTAACAAGAAATGAACTGCTAGCAAGGGAACACAGGCTATGCTAAGACATTTTGTTCCACAGCATATTAGAGGTTCGGATATCAGGAGGTAGGTGAAATGTTGTGGAGCATTGGGATGGTGATGAAGGGGATTTACAGTCAGGTTTGCATTTAATTTCTACCTAATATACATGCAAATGCACCAGTGTGACCCTGGTAAGACATTTCAATGAGGACCAAAGTGATGGACTGTCAGATCACAACTGACATCCACAGAGCCATGTCGTGTGCATGGCTAAAAATTTGCAGCATCCTTAGTTTTATACAATCTGCTGTATTTCTGTTAGCAAAGACATTTCACCATCTCACAGTTACATCGTTATGTACAGTACAAAAACAAAATCTAATAAATTGTCATAGCATGACCGTTGGCAACACTTATATCAAATAAGCACATATTTTACAGCCTTACAATTAAATCCTCTCTTTTTACAAACATTTTCATCAAGCGACACTGGCACTTGCACGTGTTCAGTCCACTGATCTGAGAAAGATGATATTGTACTAGCAAATTGAGCACCTCTGCTAAAAAAGGGGCAATATCAGCTTACTTTCAACTAAGAAAAGGCTCATTAGACTGTTTAATTATTTACAGTAAGTCCAGTCAAATGTAGACCTTCCAACAGTCAGTATAAAACAAAGGTAGCTACTTATATAAGTAATTTGTATTACCATGATCTCCTGGAGTAATGTGCCAGCTCTTCCCAACATTATGTTATCTGAACTCATCAAAGTCATTTATTTGTTAATGTCTCATTCTGTGTGCAAATAGTTCCTGTCCTCTTCTCTTCAAGTAGAGAGAGTTTGATTCTGAGTGTCCAGCGCTGCTTGTGCTTTCTGAACAGCAACCTCCAGCATCGAGTGGTCACTGAGCAGCTGTTGGAGAGCAGCTGGGTCCATCTCCAGCAGCATACCTGCACACATAGATGTACAAAACCAAAATATCATTAGTGTTATAAACATTTAGTCTTTATCCATAAAATGATTAACTTCCAAAGATGCACTGTCATGTCACCTGTAATATCATTTGCATGAAGTGGATCCAGCTCCTCGACCAGTGAGAAGATCTTCTCTCCCAGCCTCTCTGTGTCATCAGCATCCGACATGTCACTAATGTCTGTCTCCTCCATGTTCTGTCTGAAGAGAAGCAGCAGGAACATTCATTCAAACAAGTGCTTTAACTGTAATTTCTTAATAAATATTTGTTCTTTTGTAATGTTTTATTTTTTAGATTAAATTACAAGTAACAATAATGAAGCACATACTCCTTGAGAGTCTTCAGGGCGAAGTTCACCTGCTCTTCCAGCAGTTTTGGATCTGAAAGAAGGTTTAACACGACCTCTTTGTGCTGCTCCAGAAGCATTCCTGTTGAAGAACAGCAAATCCTGCTTTGATGCATTACACACTAGTTGCTCGTAATTTTTTTTTTGGTGTATACATGATAGTGAAACTAAGAGTCCAAGCCATGCTAGCAGCTCAAAGGCTTTACTTCGGCACATGCTGATGTTGCTTCATGTCTAGGTGGTATTTTGCTGCATTATATCAAGTGTTTGCTGAGTCACAGGACTGGTTGCTTACCTGTGATTTTCTGCGAGTGGCCTGTGTTGTAAACATCCACCAGGTCAAACAGCTGCTCCCCCAGAGAGTCAGAGGACACAGATGCGTCATCCTCGTCCTTACATGTTACCTTGCTGCAAAGAGGTGCAGTGACATGAGAATGCACAGTCCTTCCCAAAAAAAATACACTGAAATTTGGTTGTAAATAGCTGATGTTGCATTAATAGGCAAAACCACCCCTGTAAAGACATGTCCTCAGACAATTTGATGGTGTAATAGTGTTTGTTACATTAAATATGCCTTTCTGCATCTGAACACTACCTCAGTCCTCTGCTGGGAATGTTTTAGGCTCAGAGGATTTATGAGAACCCACATTTTAAGACCAGCATGTTCATGATGATGGAGAGAAGGAGATCAGGTCTGCTGCTGTACCTGGGATCCTGTGCCAGCTGCAGGGCTCTGAGGGCCTTCTCCACAGCAGCAGTCAGCGTGGCTTCATCCTGCAGCATCTGACTCAGCACAGGACCTGGCAGCTCCAGCAACATACCTGGGACACACACAGGCTTGGAAACTGTGATTTTATGTCAGTTATTATTATGCAAATATGTTTAACAATGTTACAAAACCATCAAAGTGAGTCATAGTAAGTCATCTCACCTGTGAGTTTTCCAGCATTCTCTTTGTGTTTGGGGTAAATCAGAGTGTACAGTTTCTCACCAAGTGTCTCCAGATCTTCTTCTTCGTCCATATTTGACTTTTCACATTAAATCACTGCTTGCAGGTGCCATGTTACACCGCGCTGTAACTTTATAATGTGCCGTTTTACAGAAGATTTTACCTCTGACAACTTTTTAGTCCACAGCTTCTTCCAATCACATCAACATTCAGACATCCACAAAATACTTCATAAAATCTGCGTCATATAATGTTAATTTTTACTAAAAGATTCGTCTTATTTATTCTGTGCTTTCCCCCCCACACGGACTCATATTATAATCCAAACTATAACCCCCGTGCTTAATATTAAAGCAGCTGACATCTGGAAATTGAATTTATGACGGCTGTCTGTAAACACGAGGCGCACATTAATGACGTTGGCTTTTACAGAGTGCGCTGAGGACGTGTCCCTCCGCTGAGCTTGCGGAAAACTAGTTCTCAATAATATGCCGTTCAAAAATATGGCATAGCGTCAAAATACTAACGACACCACAACTTTAACAATAATTGTGATTTTATGTAAATGTTAAACGTTTTAAAGCGTGTGTTTTATGCTAAATATTGTTTGAGAAAGTAGCCGTATGTGCGCAATGATCTGTGACAGAGGTTCCGTAGAGCGGTTTCCGGTCTCTCCGGTCCTCTTCCTCCGCTAAAAGGTAACGTGGTCGCCTCGGCAGCTAAAAGCCGCTAACTAAAGTGTATTTATTGTGTCTCCCCATTAGTATTAAGCGTCAGAAAGTCAGGTATTATTGTTGTGTTTATTGTTAAAGACCCGCTGTGACGGTAAATGTCCAAGTATAGTGTAAAAATGGAAAGATATATTTGTGAGCACGTCGTCCGGGTTAGGCCTCATCGTGCTCCTTCAGTCCATTGAGCTGAGCTATGGAGCTAACTTTAGCAAACTGTGTTTCAGTCTAACAACAGCGCAGTGTTTTCTTGGGATAAGACGTAAAATACATGTTTTTCGTGTTACATTATTTTGACATTGGCCATTAAACCAAATAGATAATCTAAAGTTGTGAAAGCAAGTGGTCACGTTGAGCTAAAGTTAGTTGCTAAGAAAATAGCCGACAGAAATGACGCCTGTCAGTTGTCAGCAGTGTCTGTATGTATTGCCGCTTTTAATGTTGCTTTGACTTGGATTTGTAAATTTATTCAGTAACATTTTGTCTCGTTTTGTCCAGGTACATCATGTCGTCCCATTTGCAGTGGATGGTCATCAGGAACTGCTCCAGCTTCCTCATCAAGAGGAACGGACAGACCTACAGCACTGTGAGTACACTGCCTGCCTCTCTGCTCAGACCACCTGACTGACAGACCTGACTTCACGTTACATGAGTGCTACAAGGGTTTTGAGTGTGTGATGTGATCACAATTAGGTGTTCTCAAAAATCATGTGGCGTAGGAGGTAGAGGAAGTCATCCTTTTGTCACAAAGTTGGCAGTTTGATTCCTGACTCCTGTCCGAATGTTGAAGTATTCTTGAGCAAGATACTGAACCCCATGTTCCTCCTGATGGCGCCTTGCAAAGGAGCTCCACCATCCTTGGTCTATGAATGTGTGTGTGAATGAGTGAGTGAGAGGCAAACTGTAAAGCACTTAATCTGGCAAGGCAGAAAGGTGCCATGTAATTAAAACATTCAGAAAGCAATTTTTGAACTTGCTGTTGGCCAACACTGCCATATACATAGGTAGTTAGTAGCTCAGCCAGAAAACTGTTTGAGGAAGATTTTGAAAATTTCTTTTAAATTTAATTGATGTCCAAAGCACTCACATTGCATTGTCTCCTACATTGCACTTTGTTTTCTTGCACACTTAACAGCAAAGCTAACATATTACTGTAATACTGTCGGTACACTGTAAGTGCACAGGGTGGATTCTGTTGCTGACAGAATATGATGGGACTGGTCTTGGTGGTGAAATAAATATTTAATTTTCAGTTTTTGAATTTACTGTCAACTGTGACAACACATGCTGTCCAGTGGTTTATCTACATTAAATCCATTTATGTGACAGGAGCCCAACAACTTGAAGTCCAGGAACTCTTTCCGCTTCAATGGTTTGGTGCACAAGAAGACTGTAGGTGTGCAGCCAGCTGCCGATGGCAAGGGAGTCGTCGTCGTGCTGAAGAAGCGTGCAGGTAAACATGCGACATGGTTTTCATCTTCGACTACTTCCTGTCTGTAAAACAAGTGATTAACTGCATGGAATATTGGTCTTTTGATAATTAAATGCAAAAAAAGCTGTACATGTACATTGTACAATCTGCCAACTGTTCTTAATGAATGTCAGCAAAACACTTTTTTAACATGAAAAACTGACATATTTGTTGAAAGGATTTTTCATTCATGGGTGGGATTTTAAGGGAAAGCAGCTACTGTTTTTGTGATCTACTGATGCTTCCTTAAATCAAGTGTGCTTACCTCCAGTTAATACAAATTTATTGTAGTATAATTGCTCACGCTGTGACTTGCTGAGATTAAAAATGGCTAATAAGCAGTTTCAGGAGGTTGTAGTTATTTGCATGGATTAAAATAAGTGTCCAATATATCTTTCTCTGTAGTCAGAGTGGATTCCTGGAATAGGCTAACATGCACTGAGCTATCAGTGCAAGAAATATGAGCATTGCACTTTCAGAAAGATGTAGCAAGTTGACATAGCCTCAGACTTTTTGTGGTCGCAGGTTGTGTTTTTGGCTCGTAATTGCTAATGTGGTAATTTTGGAATGTTTCCGTGTTAAACAGGCCAGCACAAACCTGCCAGCTCATACGAGAAGATCACCATCAACAAGAACTCTCGTGCCACCCTCAACAGCCTGAGGCACATCATCAGCAAGAACAAGTACAGGAAGGACCTGCGCATGGTGAGCTTAATCTGTGATTTTAGACAGCTAAATTTTAAATGTTGTTACCATAGTTTTATGTTACGGCCCTTTATATTTGTAGTTTGCATTTCAAAGCTTTCAGGAACATAATGTACGTCTGATTTGTTTTCCCAGGCTGCCCTGCGTCGTGCCAGTGCCATTCTGAAGAGCCAGAAGCCTGTTGTGGTCAAGAAGAAGCGCACCAGGGCTGCCAAGACAGCATAAACTGATACACATGATAAATAAATAAAAGCTTCTTGTTTGGGAAAAAAACACCACATTGTCCTGAGTCTTGACTTGCACCTGGAGCCTGATTATATCTGTAGTTTCTAATATGCAGGATATTGTGAATATAAATGAATCCCAACTTAAACGTCACTGTCATACCATCATTTCTGTTGGTAGACTGTAAATGAGCAAAACCTCCTGGAAAGATGAGCCACAATCTGATCAATGAAGGGTTAAGTCAGGGTTTAGAAGCATTGGTAAGTCCGTCCAGCTTGATCGTTTTCTCACCCATGGCAATGTGGATATATTGTACAAAAGACAGCATTTGAACGTGCAGGAAATGTCTTGTAAGCTGAGCAACCTGATGTTTCTGTAGGTTGCTAAATGTTAGTAATAACTTTGTTGACTTGTTCTTGAGTCATGGTATTTCCTGTGCACTAAACATCCTAAAACCTGACGTAGGTAGTTTAGCTGTCGTGGCTAGAAATAGGTCAGTAAGTGGGCACTTAGCTTGTTGCACCCTCTGCCAAAATATCTGTTTACCAGACCAACCTCTGGAGGCTGGTAAAGTTTAGTTGACATCCACATAACTAGGTAATGAAGCTACAGCAAAGAAATTGTACCATCCCCTTGACCTCACTGCTCTGTTGCTCAGTGATGATGTGCATGCTGTACATGTGGCATAAATGAGCTGCAGCTAATCAAACACCAGGAGGCTGTCTGCATTGATTATTAATGCACCCAACTGGCATGTTGCTTCCCTTTCCACCCAAATTTTTGGACTCTATTTTATATGAATTCCTGAAGATCTGAGCGCATATTTATTTTTAACACTGCACAAGTTAAACATAATTTTCATTTGTAGATTATACTGGAGCAAATAGGGACTCTTCTGCTGCTTTAGTCATAGTGATCACTGATGTGGAAACATTGGATAGATTTTGAAGCAGCCCCACTGGCAGCTTTCCACTCATGGCTTTTGAAAGACAGAACAAACTGCTGTCGCCTCCCCGTGAGTTTAAGCTTGTAAAGTATACTGCACCAATCATCTCTGATTGAAGTGACACGGGATTGGGACGTGCCTACGGGAGGGATGGCTCTGTGAAGATGTGGTAGAGAGGCTGCGAGCTGTGGTTGCCATGAGGGGACTAAGGCCAGTGCTTCTGTGCATGCCCTTGGCTCTGCTGGTCCTGCAAGGTCGGAGCTTTGAGCTGCAGGATACCATTCATGCACTGATAGAGGAGAATATTCACCTTCATGACCAGCTGGAGAACCTCACCCAAGCCCTCAGGGAACTCAAACGGATGCTGTGGCATCACTCGAATGGTACTGAGTTTTCTTTACATGTTTTTTCTTTCAATGTTTGTCCTTCATATTTTTGTCTCTTATTCTGATTATTGCATTGTCATTGCACACTAGTACACACATGGCATGAGAATGTGCAAAAAAAAACCTTTAAATTAAACTGAAAAACAGCAGTTTATTTTCTGGTTCTGCAGAATTTATTCTGAAGACACAGGGTCTGTAATATATGCTCTCTGGCGCATTGTGGGATCACTATTGGAATGCATATTAGTTTTATGAAATGTTATGTTTTTTCAGTCCCCAAGGTCAAAACAGCCGCCTGCTTTCCTTTCATTTCCCTTACTCTCATTTCCTGTTTGTGTCCTGTCTGTTTCTCTTAATCCTCTCCATGCTGTCTTTATTCATTTATGTTCTCATGTAGCTTTCTCATTCTAGTTATTTGACCTCACCCGGAGGACTAATAATTTGTTCATGATATTTGTGTTATGATTAATCCATACCCAGATCACCATGAACACCACGGACATCACAATGAGGATATCCAGCATCTGTGGGATGAATGGTCACAACATGGTGTGTATCATGTCACGCTTGTCTCTTCAGCTGACCAAAACATTTCAAAGCTCCAAACAGATTTACTGTATCGAGCGTGCAAGTTGTGTCAGAGCCCATACCATTAGTTGGTATCGATTTCAGGGCTCATGCAGGCTGCAGATAGGCTCACAGGTCACGTAGCACCAGAGGGATAATGAAATGTTAATCAACTCTGCCACAAATGAGCCTGCTAGCAGCACACAAATGATAGATTAAAGGGACAGTTCATCTCAATATGAAAAATACATATTTTTTCTCTTACCTGTAGTGCTGTTTATCAAGCCTGTCAGGCCATATCGTGCATTTAGCTCCTTTAAAGGGACAGTTCACCCCAAAATAAAAAATACACATTTTTTCCTCTTACCTG